ACACTTCATCCGTGATGCGTCCACCGGGTGAGATGTAGCTACCCAAATAAAAAAACTTATTTACTTGCTCTATTACTAGAGTGAGGCCATGTGCTGGACCAACCCAGTCTTGCAGTAACATTTTACACTTTGAAGGTGCAAAACGCATACCGAACGTGGTTACACTGGCACTCAAACTTTCCAGAAATGCTTGCAACTTACCTGGATCTTCACTTGGTAGCATAATGTCGTCTGCGTATTCTAAATCAGTGTAACACTTAGAGGGCAGACACGCACTGAAATTTGCCACAGAAACTCCGTGAAGCACAGATCGAAGGAAGAAGAATGGTAGTATTTGCGTTCACAACTCAACGGTGAATAGAAAAAGTAAATCGGTTTCAGTACTGAGTGGATGAAAAACAATAAACGAAGGGATTCTAAAATGGAGTTGGAATGGCGCATGCAGTTTGTACGGAATACCAGGTCGAGCGAGAGAAGTACAATTTGGTCGGATAACACTGACCACGAAACACATAACGAATACTACTTACTAGTTTATGTGCAAGTTCTGTGATGCACACGGAAACTGCATCGAGCGAGCACTGGGATCACCAGTAATGATGCATCATCGTATTTCCCGTCTCTGGTACACGATAAAGTGAAACACAGTGAGGGGGAGGCAAGTGTCTGGCAGACGACTGGAGATTTTCTCCAGTTTACTGTCTGCCCGCATTTCCTCAACCAGTTCTCGTGTTGTGCGCAAGATCAGCTGCAAAAGTCTGCGCACATCCGTACTCGCACTCCGACTCACCTAGCTCTACTGTACACACAGAGAATTGATGCGCACCACTCGGAACTATTGCAGTCATGTATATGGGATGAGGCCTCACACTCTTTGTTGCTTTCTTCTCTACGCGACCGTATTAAACACCAGGCTATTTTGAAAAACCGGTGCTCGCGAAGAAATTTGTTTTTCCGATTTATCTATCTCATCGGGTGGTTAACTGTATAAGGCAATCATAGCACAGATATCTGACCGGCCGATTACAGTTTATAACAAAGATGACAAAGACGAGTAACCAGAGCAAGCGAATGTGAAAAGGCCGGAATGGAAGCAAGCACACACACACACACAAACATGAATTACCATGGGTTTACAATCACTGACCATATACCAATCTCGATCTCGAAGCAGTAATGATTCTGGCTGGTAAAACGCCACCTTTCACCGGTAGGAATCGGTTTAAGAGTTATAAACAGATAACGTGATGGAGGCGAGAGAGTTGTACTTACTTGCCAAATACGAAGCGTGCTCTCTTGAAGTGAATAGGTCGCAACCAGTCGCCCGTCGGAATGGAACCGAACTGCGGTCACCGGACCCTTGTGACCTAGATCAGTGAAGCGATAGACGGGTATACAATGAGAGAGAAGTACATGGTAATGTGAAAGTTCGCACGAATAATTTCTGTACGATTAAGATCACCTGTATGTGAAAAACGATCGCTTACCCGGTACAAGGAAAACCAGGCTGACTGTATCGTAATTCGGGTTGGGCGTGACAGGTCTCATATCATAATCTGAATCCGCATTCATGTTGTTTGAGTGACTGAACTAGATAGTCTGGTTGATTAGAAGTAGAGATGAGTATGCCGAATTTCTGAATCGCCCGTGAGCAGTTCTACTTCATGATTCGGCAACTCTCTGTTAGAGGCTGTTTGGTGGAACAAGTTATATCCCACAATACCTTGGTTGAACCATACTTCCTAGTGTACGTGCCCTTCGATTGGCTGCGCTACGTTTGTGTTCACTGTTGCATTGGAATTTATTACTTGGTTTCTGACATGTTCTCTCGACGTGCGTATCCCAGGGAATTATTACGACGTCTCAAGGATATTCATTATTCTTCTGTGTTATCCAACTGAAATCGTTCCGCCCGAACTGGATTTTCTGCTCGGAGCAAGAAACGAAAGCTGGGTGGCAGACTGCGCTTGCAAACGTTCCTCCCGTGAAGGTGACGGTTCGCCATTAATCAGTTTCAACATTCGCTTACTGTTTAGCAAGCTGGCTGACCTCACGGATCTACTAACATATCTCGTGTATTCAAGCACATGCGTGATATGCATACAGGAATCATGGCTCAAACAAAACATAGACGATTCGCTGATCAACATACCTGGTTTTGCAAGTTTTCGACAAAATAGAGAAAGAAGCAAAACGAAGTCTAGAGGCCGGGTAATAAACTAAATTGACTCCAGTTGGTGCGGCAAGTCCGGAACGTTATTTGTTTTCTCTTATGGTATTGACTGCCTTATGGTTTCATGTTGACCTAGGTTTTCTCCTTATCGAAGCACAAATATTGCAAGTCTATAAATTACCCCTTCCTGCTCACAAACTGAAATTAGTTCTTTCTACGATGTATTTATTCCTTTCATTGCTCCCTTAGTGGACGATAATTTAATTCTAATTGTCGGTGATCTTAATCACGGATCAACCCAACCTTTACTTTCTTTCGGTCTGTCAGATCTCTCTTTAACGTCCACCAGAGGAAATGCTATTTTGGACAAGCTTATTACTGATCACCCTAATATCTTCTCTCTCAAACTGAAGGCGCCAATTTCGTCTAGTGACCAGTCTCCTATGTCTTAGACCAAAAGTTTACTCTCGCTTGGCATACCCTACTTTTATTCAAACAAAACAAATGAAAATAAAAAATTCGGAACCTTTCAGTCGACAGACTCTTTCTCCTGAGAAAACCTCATGCTATTATGGTTTTCCGTTTAACAGTCTCCCTGTGCTGTTGAACATTTTACAGGAACAGCGAACGTGATTTTCAATGTATGCTGTCCTATGGAGACAGTTTTTGTTCACATTGGTAGAATATGCTCTCCGCGAATAAAAGCTCTTAGAAGACAAAAAGAACAAGCGTTCAAGATACATCAAAAAGCCACAATCATTGAAAATCAGGACAGAGATCAAAAGACTGAGTGCTTCATTCGCAAAGCAAGTTCTGGGATCAGATTGCTCTGAGGACAGAATAAACGGACAATAAACAAAATTATTGACGTGGATCGCCTCAATGCTGCATTCATTTATCCTCCGAATGATCTCCTGTCTCCGTACCCCACAGATTACCTATTTGCCATAGACCTGGTCACCCATGACGAGGTCTATCATCTTCTTAAATCTACGAAAACTACGAACGCAGTTGACCCCGGCATTGCTGAAATATGGCGCTGGCTCAGTCACAGAGATGTTTACGTCCCTTATTAACTAGTCCATTTACACATGTTCTATTCCGGATTCCTAGGGACCGTTCACCATTGTTCCCATTCCTGAATCCTCTTCATCTAGCGTTTTATCTAAACGCTTTCGTCCTATCGCCATCATCTCCTCTGGACT